GTTTTCTGACAAAAGAGCTTCCTTATGTGCCCTAGACCATCTAAATTTTCTAGATCATAGGTTTGTGAATCTTACATGAACCCCAAGATGTTCATCTTGGCTAAAGTTTTGCAAATATGGGGCAGAATCATAATAAAGAGAGCAGCTAACAAAAAACTGAAAGGAGATAAATATGTCCCAGCTAAGGGGCTGCAGATCTAAGTATGGGTGAAGATTACTGGGTCTTGAAAGACAGGACTGGAGACCTGGAAATACCTTGGGACTGAAGGAGTTCAGAGCACGGCAGAGTAATTTCCTGTGGCAGAGCAGAAAGAGAGTTATTTCATCTGGCCTTGCACAGAAGGACCAATTGAAAACATGTTGTGAGCATCTGGATCTCCTGCAAGACCTCCTGGAGATGGGATAGATGATCTGCAAGAGTGCAATGGGTTTATGAAGAAGCTCTCATCCCTGGCCACTCCTTCTTGATCCCACCAATTGCTCGAACACCATTGTGGGGCTGACATGAGAAGAGACAGTGAATTTCAGTTAAAACCCCTTGTTTGGAACAGTCAGTAATAGGAGAAAATGGCAAAATTCTAATGGTTGCTTTATTTCTGGAAGCAACACCTTGTTCAGCTACATTTTACTTCTACACAAAGAGAAATTTAAGTCCCAGGGCCCATCTTAACAAAGAGAAATAAATTCATAAGCTTTATTCTGACTTTAAAAAAAGTGTGATTCCTGCCTTCTGAAAAGCATTAAAATGGCATTACATGGAAGAATTTCCTTAGCTTGCTCATTGAAAATAAGTTCAATCTTGTGCCAAATTTTGAACCTAAATTTTACACTCCTCCCTGCCATCGCCCCCATAGTATTTTAAGTAGTCCCAGTCTAGTAGTCAAATATTTCAGTCTGCCTCTGTGACTGACATTCTGCAAATGCAAATTATGAGTTCTTGGGAAAGCTGTCAACTGACTGTGGGACTGAAAGCAAATTGTGTGCTACCCCAGGAGACCATGGGTCTAGTATCAACCTGTGTATGACCTCTCTGCTCCTTGTCTGGCAGAGGTGCTTCTGGCTCTTTGGCAGGGCTTTTCTTAGCAGGGTGAGTAGGGTTCCAATCTCTGGTGGTAATTCAGCATAACTCCTTTCCTGTGCCACTTATTTGCTGCTATACATAAAATTTATGATGTGACACTGGGACTTTAAATGCTGATGGTTTAAGTAACTTTTAGAAAAAGGTGGGAGGTTTTTAAGCCAGTTGTGCAGTATGTTGAATATGAAATTGAAGAGTGGAAGGAGTAATTGTAGTGAATTCCAACCTCCTAAAAGTAGGAGCAGTGCTAGGAGTTAAGACAGGCAGTGCACAGTAAAAATATTGCATCTGACAGTCAAATTAATTGAGATGGAGTAGAAATACTTGTGAGCAGATAAGGCACTTGAAGTAGTCAGTGGATGTAGCAGTCACTTTTATGTTTACATTTCTGAAGCTTATCTCCATGTAGTTATAGATCACAATGCTTTGATTTTGCTGTCTGGCAACCCAAACCAAAAATACCCAGGAGGGAGAGATAGGACTGAAGATTGCAAACCTTCCAAAGAAATTGTTTTTGCATGTAATATGTCTAAATGATTACTGTACAATGCGGCAAGTATAATAGTCTATAGAAGAAAAATATGTAAGTCATTTTGTTGTAAAAACTAAACCACAAACTGATATAGGGACTGCTCCAAAGCCCATGAAATCAGAGGGAGTTTTTCCATGCATTCCAATGGAATCGACCTCTAAAGGTGATGTATCTTGCAACAAAGGCAGTGAACCTCATGGTAGCAGTGTGATCGGTAAGAGTCCCAAATATGCACAGAAGCCATTCATGTGGTAACTACTGTAAGACACAAGACAATATAAATGGGTGTTTTAATGGATATTGACTAGGAATTCATCCAATTTCAAGAGGATGTCAGATTTCTAAAACAAGTGAGACAGGCACATACCAAGTTCAAGGCAGGAAGTTTTCTGATCATCTCCTAAAGTCATCATTCCAATGGCTCAGAGGCATGGATTATCAAAGAGTCAACCAGAGAAGACAGGAAAAAACATAGGAGTCTGGAAGTGCATTTTAGAATGAGCACATTTTTAAAAGTGTACTCATCTGGTTCCATCTGTGCATGACTCAGTTCTACTGCTGAGCCTGCCAGGCTTCATGGCTACATATAAACCAAAATGAAGCAGTGCAACGTGCCTAATTGGACCTCCCTAAATCACAAATGAATGTCTGCAATAATTTGGAAAGGATTTTGTAGGGGTGTTTTACATTTCATTCCCAATCTGTCCTGCTGATCCCAGAGGACTGGCAATTATAACAGTGCTAGCTTTGACTTCCCAGATTAAGAAAGACCTTTTCTTACAATATGAACTCTTTTGACAAGAGCTATTTGGTCAATATTTGTGCAGTCCCAAGATACTTTGAGAGTATAAACAAAAAATACCATTTGTCTCCTTTCTCATTATCACACCCATGTGTAAATGGCTTGTCTTTGTCCTTTAATATCTTTTACTGAATCATGATGAGTAAATGTGAGGTCATTTGATGTGCTTGCTAACACTGCAAGACCAGAGAGATTACTTTGTTGATAATAATTTACTATAAAAGATGCTTGAGGGGCAGGTTGTTATGAATCCTTTGTTTAAGTTGTCCCTTTACCTAATGAAGGTAATTAAAAAGATTTTTTAAGACAGGTATCTAATCCAGTATGGTATTTTCATATAAATATCCTTAAGAATTCTCCAGTCAACAAAAGATCTTCCATCACTGAACTAACAGTTCGAAACAATCTACTCTTTCAGCATTCCTGAATGACATTTCCTTATCAGATAGTGTACAAATGGTGTGAAGCTGTGTGAACAGCTCTGCAGCCGTTTTCCCAGAAACACTTTGGGATCATTTGTGGTACTGTATCCTGGTGGTGTCCTGGGACACACACTGAGCATGGCAGTGGCCACAGGGTCCATCACAGCCAAAAGGCTGGGAGCTGTTCTTGCACTGCAAGCTGGGGACAGCTCTGGGAGCCTTCTGGTGTCACCTGTTCTCAGACCTTGACAGTGAAGGAGGTTCCCTGGCACCCCCAGTTAATTATTCCTGACAATGTGTGTATGAGAGTTAGTGTGTCTAATGCCTCTGGGACAGGATTGCAGGAGCACGAGGTTCATGGACAATAATCACACTCACGGATGATACCTACACAGGCAATATCTCAGCTGTGTCCCACCTGAACTCTTCAAAAAAGTGTCCAAAGTGCATTTCTGCTTGTGTCCCACAGCTTATTATTCTAGCCAGCAATTTCTCATTTTGCCACAGTGCTCAGGGAAAGCAGCAAAATAAGCAGTATGGATGGTATTGCATTTCTGGGTTTTGGAATAAAGAAGGCACCAGAGACTCTGAAGATCCTCGTCTAGTTACAGATCTTAAAGAATATTATAATGTGATTTTTGAAACCAAACAGGGTAGTAATCTAGCTGAACCAGTTTTATGGCACCAGATATTTGTTCAAAAGGTCCAGGCAGACTAAAGATATACTCAGTAAACTGCAAGGGCGGGAGTGGGGGAGCAGAAGTGTATGATACAATATAGCTATAATCATAAAGCACAAGACCTACTGAGCTACTTTATGACCTTTTTCTTCTCCAGTGAAGAAAGCCTTAATAAGTCACTTCTGGCTGTGCCAGTCATGAATTACTGCTGTCTGCACAAAGGAAGATAAATATTGTAACACATCATAGAACATCTCTCCCTTTAAATACTGTAAATGGATAAACATATAAAACCCAAGAGGAACCTGAATAAGTGCAAAACTAAGCCAAAGAACAAGAATGTAATTAATCCAGAATGCATCACTTTGAAAGCAAACCTTTGATATGAAATTTCTCCTTTTTAAATGATAAATAAGGACAAGACTAGAGGCACGTCTATAGTTGTCCAGAGCTGACATTGAACCTGCAAAGGACATTTTGTGGTACTCTCAAATGTTTGTAGCTACTAGTCTATTCTACTTGCTCAAATACTTCTTTCACTGTCTTGGCTGAAGCCTTCACCATCCTCTTGCTGCTCAGCCCCACTCCTCAGCAGAAACTGTCTCCAGCAGAACAGGCAGAGGAGCTGCTTGTGCCAGTAATTCTCTGACCTGTTTAACTGGCCCAGGTCTTTTGAAATGAACCGGGCTTGTAAAGAGCTATTTAAGCTGCTTAAGTAAATGTGGCTTGTGTTTGCTAAAAAGGATTAGGAGGAGGAGCAACAGGAGCAACCAGCAGGTTTGAGGAGTTTATTGTAGGAACAATGACAAGCATCTGCAGGAACAGCCCTCTTCTCAGCCAGCAAAGCTGCAGCTGCAGAAAACATCTGGGCAAATACTTCCTCTCATTTGCTAAGGAGAAGACATGTTAATGCCAGTGTATATCACAAAACTGAAACAGAAACAGCAGGAGCCCTAAAAAAAAAATAAATCTAGCAAGTAGAAATAATAGTTATGTCTGATTTCTGTGGAAATTCCACCTAACTGCTCTCCTGAAACAATAGTTAGGAAAGTGTGCTGGTTTTGGCTGGGATAAAGTTAATTTTCTTCACAGTGGCTGATATGGATCTGTGTTTTGGATTTGTGCTGAACATGGGTTGCTAACACAGAGCTGTTTTTGTTATTGCTGAGCAGGGCTCACACTGAGCCAAGGCCTTTTCTGTTTTTCATGCGGCCACAGTGGCCAGGAGGCTGGGGGGGCCTGGGAGGGTGGGAGGAGACAGAGCCAGGACAGGGGACCCCAGTGACCAAAGGGACATTCCAGCCCGTGTGACATCATGCACAGTGTATAAAGTGTAGGAGAAGAAGGAGAAAGGGGTGAAGTTTGGAGTGATGGGGTTTGTCTTCACAAGTCACCACTGCATGTGATGGGGCCCTGCTCTCCTGGGAATGGCTGAACACCTGCCTGCACATGGGAAGCACCAAATGAATTCCTTGTTTTGCTTTACTTGTGTGTCGGACTTCTCCTTTCCCCACTAAACTCTGTTTATCTCAACCCAGGAGTTTTCCAGCTTTTACCCTTCCAGTTCTCTCCCTTATCCCACTAGTAGGGGAGTGAGCCAGTGATTTTGTGGGGCTTGGCTGCTGCTTGGCTTGAACCACGACAGAAAGAATCTCATTCATGGACACAACCTTGGACAAATATTTGTGTACCAAAATACCTCAAAACCACTGGTAATATGAACTTGCTTACAAATTTACAATTTTCATTACTGTATCAAATAGATTATCAAATACAGAGGGAAAAACTGGTATGTTTATGAGATTAAAATTAAAATAAGATTTAAAGATAGTAGGAGTAAGATTTAAAATGACACATTACTAGTTTAGAAATAAAAGTTATTGTTTGTTAATATTATTTAGAAATAAAAGTTATTAATTATCCAATATTTTCTAAATATGTTCAATTTCTAGTGTTCAGTACTATTCAGATGGTTATTAAATAGGAGTCAGGCATCTGACCTATAAAAAAGAAAGTTTTGGTTTATTTTTCAAAGGAAGAGGGAAGTTTCAAGGAAATATTATAGAGATATATGCTCATACACAATCTTAATGGGACTTCTGGTTTCTTAGTACTGCTTAGGACAGATAAATAGTCCTCATTTTAAAGCATGTTTGGGATTTTTGACATTTTAGAGAAACAATAAAACCGTTTTCCTGAAACTCAAGCTATAAAGTGAAACTCAAGGTATTTTCTGCTGTTTGCTTTGAGCAGGGCGTTGGACCAGATAACTTCCAGAGATCCTTCCCTCTCCTAGTAATTTTACAACATAAAATATCAACAAAATGCATATGGGAATAACCAGTTTTTTGTTTTTGTGTGAGGAAAACAGAACAGCCAGAAAATTACAACTTCCCAAGAGACACTGCATGAAGACACTGATTTCTCCTTTTCACTGTGGTGGAGTGAAACATTGTGTGTTGCACTCTGACATCTCCTGCTCTGCCCTGCTCTGCAAATGTCTCTCCTCTCTCCAGCTGGGCTCAAAGAAGTGGCAAAGGGGAAAGAAATTCCCCAAAAGGGCATGCAGAAGTATCCCCTTGGTGTGTACCACAAGGTACACCCTAGGAAGTTTTCAGAGCAGTTGAGTTTGTTGGCTAATTTACTCAAAATATTTAAGCCTTGAAAAAGGCAAAAATGTGCAAGAAATTTCAGTGCTTCATATTTTCCTTACCAATTGTTTTTTTTCTCTTCTTATCATAAATGATTTCTATTTTTTAAATAACCATTCCCTTTCAGCTCAGTTTTTCTATGATTGGTATTAGTCATATATCCGAAATACTCCATTTTTGAACGTGTTATCTCCATTGAGCCATTTCATTAATTTCAAAACAATAGGAGAACTACTTGCTCTGCATGACCTTGAGAAAATGGTAACCTATCATGCTCCCAGCTATTCTTTGTCCTGGTCAGCTTGAAATCTGAGCAAACACATGCAGGTACAGGATGGTCAATTTCCTTGCACATCCATGATTATCCACTGATAATCTATGATTTCTTTGATAAGTCTTATGTAAAAACAAGGACAGTGATGCATCATAATAACCTTCAAATTTCAGATAACATATTTCTGTTTCATAATGTAACAAGAAAAATTTGGAGATAACTATAAATTTTTTAACCTTTAAACAACAAAACTTTCTGATCTTTAAAACATCAATAAAATACTTTAAAAAAATCATACATTGCAATGAAGCATATGTCTGGTGTTATAAAAGATACATCAATGTTATTTCCCTTAGGTAAATTCCCAGAGGTGGGTTTTATTCTGATTTGTCTTGGGATCACCACAGGTATGTTCTTAATTTGAATGGTGAGTTTATTCGGATTATAATGGAAACGGGCACCATGTGGCTAAACCTATTCAAGCAAATGATTTCATCATTATGGTTTAGAAAAAGATCTTCCTGATCTATTAAGAATATTTCACTTATTGTAAGGACAATCTCAGTGACACAACTCAGGAATTATGTAGCCTCTTTAGAAAGTGATTAATTAGAATAAAAGGAACCTGCTGAGACAGTGGTCTCCTACAGTTTATGAATAATTGTCTACATTTCTCTTTAGATCTATTGCTTTATGTTAAAGCCTAGCTTAGCCAAAGGCAAAATTTAATATCTGTAGCTTTACTAATTTATAATACTATATATTGAGATGTTTGTGAGGGTTTGATAATTTGGTTAATTTTTGCCCTTTTTAAAATGCATACAATTGGAAAAATTTCCAAAAAAACCTTTTTTCTCTTACATTCTTAGATAGCCTAATTGTGATTTTTTTTTTTTATTTGAATCAGGTGGTGAAGCTGTGAACATACTGGGAGTATTTGGGCTTAAAAAGACAATATCCTGTTCACCAACCCCCTATGGTACTTTGCACTACTCTAGTGTTCAAAAAAAAAATTAATTCACTTTAAATAAAATTTTAAGAAAGGATTTGTCTCTCTAGTTAATCTGGAATTCCAGAGAGTATTTAGTTTTCCGAGATGGAAGCACCTAACTCTTTAAGATATCTAATTCCATTCAGTACCAGAAGCATTCTCTGAGAATTTTTTTTTCCTACTGTATATATTCTAGGGAAATCTATATTTATCCCTCAACAGGAGCACACCTATGAGCAGGACTAAGTTGAGACACCCTCAATTCTTCAAAAATAATTCCAAGAAATGCAAAAAGTTAGTTGTCATCACAACTGTGGTTAATTTTATTTAATATCATCATAGTAATAATAGTGATATTCATCTTTTTGTTTAATAATCCCATTGTCAGAACACTCACAGAATTATCACCTAGATAATGATACATTTCGTTATCTAGCTTTAATGGGATTGAGCCCGTGTTTGCAAAATGTTCTAACCACAATCCAGGAGATATCCTGATTAAGACTGCTCTTTATCTTTATACCTGAAGCTATTCTGTTGTGTGAACAGATGTGCACAAGCCTTTGCTCCAGCAGAGAGGGGAAAAATAAATATGATTTTAACTTAAGTGTTGAGACAATCAACTGGAATGATGGTCTTGCTGGAATTTTATAAATTTTACATTATATTGTGTCCTAGAAGACAAAAAAGCAGTCCTAGAGACAGGAACCAAAGCTGCACAAGCCTTTGCAACAAAACCATAGGCGAGAATCAGGATTGTCTTTGCCTGTATTCATTCTGGACATGTTCTTTTACACCTGCCAGAGGAAAGGCCCAGCTTTGATCAGAGAGATTGAGACATTCTTCCTAAGGATACCCCATAGCTCAGCTGTGGTGGCGTTTTGAAGGTTGTGTAGATTTAACTCCCCCCAGTGCCTACTCTCTGTGTCTCCCCAGGTCTCAAGTGAGTGTGAAAACCATGGAAAATCAAGTATCAGAAAGAAATATGTTAATAATTAGCATATCTTGTAGTTTCTCTTCAGAGTAGAGAAAAGTTGCTGCTATTTTGGTCAATGGTGTGAGAAGGAATTTAAAGCAAGATAGCTGGACTTCCTCCTTCAGACCTGAAGAAGCATTTCTGTCCCCATGGATTTAGGACTGTATGTAGGATGTTCTGTTATATTGCTATTGCAATTGGGAGTTGGGTATTTAAGAGTTTTGTGCGATTTTGTCCAAGTCAAGAGCCAAACTTTGGTGGGCAGCAGCCTACTCTTTGCCAAAATGTAGAAGAAATACCGAATTTGCCAGCTGTATTGTAGACTCTTCTCATAGACCTATGCACTGAGCCAAAATGATAATCTGGCTATTTGTTTAAGTTCCAGAACAACACATCTGTCACCAAAGGATGATATTTATAGAGTTCAAATATTGGAATTATACTGAAGATTAAGTAGAATACAACCACAACACTGGAGTAATACTTCAACGAGTCATTACATAAATAAAGCACTATTTTGCACACAAATATGATACTACTGACTTCAAAAGTAACTGATCAAAAGAATGTGTAGCAAAAGTGTGAGCAAGTATCCCAGTTAGGATTTTTTTCAGGTTCTCACTAAATTTAAAGGTCCATGAATGCCACTGAATGTTGTTCATGCATGTCTGTGTGAATGCATGTATATATACTTATATAGGTACATGTACATATGCATTTTTTTAATCTTTAATTCCTGTGGCAAAAGAGGTGGGATGCTCACATCACTCTACACATAGTAAGATCAGAGTCCAGGGGTGGCCCACAGCCTTCTAATGTGGTTAAAACTTCTGTCCAGGAGATGAAGTTCACCCATGCATTGCAAGACTTGATGAAAACTGAAGTGTTTACAGGAGTGGTTGTCCAGTCAGCCTAAAGAGTTTTATGACTCCTTAGGATGTTGAAGGTTAAAACCATTTCAGTATTGTATTTCGGTAGAAATATGATATTGATGCTATCATTTTTCATCATATCAGAACAATTTCTATTAGATGATCAATGTATTATTTTCACTTTAAATTGCCTCATGAAGTGACCCAGGGGCTAAAGAAACCAAGATTAATTTGGCAGTTTCCTGTCAGGCAAGCAAAAAACATAACATCTGAAAGGTTTGCCAAGGATAGTTTAATTTTAGACAGTGAGCGTCAGAACCTCTCAGTAATCCTTATAATTCTGATACATTTTGTAGCTAAAAAAATACCAAAAAATATGGGAAAAGAAGGGAGAGAGGAAAGAAAGAAAAAGAAAGTGAAAGACCAAATACTTGTGTTAAAGTCCTGCTATAAGATTTTCTAATGAGTTGGACTTTGTGTTTTGCTGTTGAAGATAAAGTAATCTGCAATCTGTAGTCTAGAATCTGAAAGTGGATAATTTAATGGCAAAAAAGAAGCCTTTATTTTTATTGATAATTTACAGAGTTCCAAAGGTATTTTCTTATTTCCACATGCAGATTATGTCATAACTCTTCAGCAATCAGCTGTTTGGGACCAAGTGTATATGGTACAAGACCAGAAATGTTGCTTGATATGTTTCCACATTATAACCCATCCCATTTTGGATTTCCCAAGGGCTTTTGTCCCTCAATATAATTCAGTATAACTTTACAAAAAATATCTTGTGCGTCCTCTTTATCATATTTCTACCTGAGTTTTTTTGTAAAGCAAATGAAACAATCTTGTCCATGAAGAGTAAATTCCAAACTAAGTCAAGGCATTATATTCACAGATGCATGAAATCCACCAGAAACTATAAATTTTTAGTGAGTGACCATTTTCCTGTGTGGTGGAATAAATCATATGACAGATTCTGTAGCTACCACTTACAAGATAAGCTGGATAAATGGGAAGAAATCACATCATATTTTTCCCTGCTTGCTTATAATGGCGTGTTGAACATATCTGGATTTGGACTGTGGTCTGTTGACTGATCAAGATATAGGACTACTCCTGGAAAAGTGTTCTGTAAATATATCCTTAGTTCAGATCTGTGTGACTGTCCTGGAGCGTGTCATGTCTGTTGATTTCAGTAAACGCTTTTCTGTATTTTCTGGGAACCAGGATTTAGAAATGGGAGGGAAGGGCTACAACAGTGTCTCTTAGTTTACACCATCTTCTCTTCTGTTTTCTATTCACTGACTGATTCCTTGACAAGTCTAACTTTTCCTTCAGTCCTCCTTAACATTTTAGAGAATGAAATTTCCCCTTACACAAAACAGTGCACATAAAAATGTTTTGCTCTGTATGGTAAATTGATTCCCACATAGACAGAAGAAAACACTAGTAAATTCAACTAATGAATAAGGAATACCTAATATCTTACTGTGAATTTACCCTTTTTCCTTAAAAAAAAAAAAAAATCACACAGAATGTTTAAGCTGAGGTATTATTTTGGGATAGCAAAACTTCCCTTAAATATCATCTGTCTCTCTTCACTAACATTAAGACTAAATTGATATTGTTTGTTTGTACTTGTTCCTGGATAAATGCATAAAAACTATTTGTTGTTTCAGATCAGTAGCAATAAAATCCTGAACTTGATCAGCTTTGTCATTACCCTGCATCAACATGGAAAGGTTGGCTGCTGGCCATATTTTAATATAGCAATAATAATACTTAACACTGTTCATCTCAAAAGCAATTTACACATATTAACTAATTAGGCCTCAGAACATTTGCATGATAGGTGAGTAGTATTTATCCCTCTTTAAAATGGGCTAAGTGGAGGAACAGAAGATGAAGTCACACTTTCAGCAAGAGTCAGCAACTGAATGTCCAGCTTGTGACACATTGATTTCATTTTCTGAAATGTTGAACACCTGCAGCCCCAGTTGAAGTCAAGCGAAGTGGACAGTGATCTTGACCTCTGTATATCAATATAAAGGTGTATTTTGGCTGCCATTTGCAAAAGGAAGCCTTCAATAATTGCTTTAGAGAGTATTCATTTTCATGCAGATTCTCTCTTATCCCTTGTAGTTTTGTTTCTGATCTTGACAGTACTCAAAAGTTGTTTCTTGCCCTGTATTTCTGCACATCTTCAGAGCCAGGTGATTTAAGACATAGATGCCCTAGGACAAAGTCCAGCAGGAACCAGGAATGAATAACTGACATTATTGATACAATTGAGGGTGAAAATTGACAGCTATAAAATTCTTCTTTAGGGAAAAAAAAAACAAGCAAAAGGCACCTCCAGTTGCATAAAGAAGAGTTAACCTGATTTGTGCATTTATTTATTTACTTATTTAGGAAAGAATTTACATACCTTATGGGGTATTTTTTGCAATGAGACCAAGATGGATTCCAGAGATAGAACTTGGAGCCTTAGACTTATAATAGTAAACAATAAATGAAAACACAATGAAGTCACTATTGTATAACTTATGACTTTCCAATTCAAAGTCAGGAGAGAGACATGTTATAGCAAAACACAAGTTAAAAAAAAAAAAAAAAAAAAAAAAAAGCCAAGTGCTGGATAAAGAGAATTGCTAATTCCTTCAGACTGACACAGAGATGTTTATTCTTGTCTTTGGAGTTCAGACACCAAGGAGACTTGTACTTAGGTGGACTTTTAGAAGCTGGCCCTGCTCTGCACTTTGCTCCTCCTGTCACACTTCCCTGCCTGACATAAATTGATTTTGAGACTATAACATTGGCTGCTTGCTCTTTTCAAAGTGTTAACATTCTCCTTCTTTGCTCTGCATTCAGCAAAAACATCCTTCTTCCATCATAGGACATGCTTCAGTATTTTTGATAGATGGACATTCATGATGCCAGTGTGCTGCTTACACACCACAGATAAATCTGCCATAAGCAGAGTTCCACATGGAGAACTGCCAGCATCCATGTGCAATAAATAAAAATGAGGAGATGAGAGCTCACCTGGTACTGCTATACCATGATCAATGCTGTGCTGAGAACTGGCTTCCAGTACATCCCACCACATAGGAAACAGCTTTTATTTTTTGGTTTGGTTTGGCTTTACTTGTTTGGGGTTTTTTTAATGAATCTTCTGGAAGTTTTCATCTGTGTTTAATTACATATTCTCTGCCCTTTTATTTCCTGACAGATAGATAAAACAAATGTTTTGACCCTTCAGCTTTTGTCAAGGTAAATACAATAATGTCCTGAGGTTCAGGGTAGGAAACTAGAGGGTTGGTGTCAGTCTCCTATTGTAAATAATTTAAAAAAGGAGAAGATTATTTAATTAACCAAGATCTAAGTCTTCTTCATTCACTTTTAAAGGAAACATTACTCATTGTAATGGGGTGTGCTGGCAGAAATCCTTTGGAGTGCTACACAGGCAACATAAATACACCTTGAGAACACTTGTTCTATTGAAGCTCACTGGCAGTTCAGACTTTAAAGAACATCTTTTGAATTCTCAGCAAAAGAAGCCATTTGTTGCAAACCCTACACTGGTTTAAGGAACTGCTGACACCTCATGGAAAACATTAAGATTCATCTTATTAAAATATCCCACCAAATATATTTTTTGGTCCTGCTGTGCCTGTGTCTTGTATCACCCTTCAATTAAATTACTAAAGGCTGACAAAACACAAACAATTCTAAAGTGCTGAAAAAAGCCTCTGGGGTTTGTCTGTTTACTTAGATGCTGGTTTTAGAAAAGATTTGTATCCTGTCTCCAGGGCATACGGTGTGATTTGTACAAAACCCAGGTTGTGGGTGTCCTTCAGGGAATGCACAGGAGGAGATATAGTTTGCAAAGAGTCTTGGTGGCATGAGTGGATTTTTACTGAATTCCCAAGGCCAAGAAAGAAGTTCATACCATGACCCCAAAGGTCCTTCTCAGTTTCTAGAATTTACTGTGCCTCTGATGAAATTGAAAGAAAAATGTGAAGAAATCTGTTCTGTTTTAGGACTATAGGCATCCTTACAGGTACACACTGTTTCTTTCAAAATTTGAAAACCCACATTGGTGGGTTTGTTTCCAGTCCCTTTTGGTCCTGTCTGTGGTGGTGGTACCTCCACTGGTAGCCTGGCTGCTTTTCAGTGTGCCAGTCAAGTAGGAAACAGATTTTTGGCGAAATTAAAACCAGTGCCAGGAATGGGGTGATAACACTAAAACAAAGAACTGAAAGACTAGACTGTATTCACCAGCTTTATCTTAGAAAACATTAGTTCCCTCTAGTAACAGCTGGAAAATAATCCAGGTTCCAAGTGAAAAAAAAATAACAAAAAAACAAAAACAAACAAAAAAAAAACCCAAACAATAAAACAAAAAAAAAAAACCAAACCAAACAAATCCAGAGTTTTAGACCTTATTTCTGCTGTGCTCTTGCTTTAGGGTGGATTCTTGCACTTGCACACTTGCATCCATCCCTCTGTGTGCAGCTGGCACCCACCCCACTTTCTAGTTCTATCCATACAGAACATGCAGGAGCTCTGAAACCTGATACTGGGCACTGAAGGTTGTGACCCTGCAGTGGGACAGTGCCAAACAGGAGTGAGGAGAAGCGTCC